GGGGGGGGGGGGGGGGGGGGCGTACTCTTATGCTTTGCATGCCTTAGCGGTTAGACCATTGACCACGCGTCCTCGAGAGGACGGAGCATTGTTCCCACAGGACCGATCACCGATGGCCAATCGTTCCTTCCTACTTTGCCAAAGGTGGCTCAAAAATGTCTTCCCTAGTCTGTCTATCCTACCGATGTCACTTCCCGCCTTTTCAAACCACTTTCTACTCCCCAGTACCGCTACCGTCCTCTCCTCTCTATTCCATGCCTCAAACATCTCCCTGTACGTCCCTTGTATTCTTCCCAGCTCAGTCATGTACACTTCCCTCTCCTTTTCGTACCACGGACATTCCGCGACTACATGAACACTGTCTTCGCATTCGAAGCCGCAATCGCATTTGAACTTGTCGTCTTCGTCGTCTACCGTCCTATGTCTTCGTCGACGTTCGCGAAGGCCTATGTCCCCGGTCCTGAATTTGACCTTAAGCTTTGTCCCTGCATCCATTGGTCCATGTAGGTAATCCTTGAACCCTATTCCTTCTTTCAACATTCCGTACACTTCTAGACCCTCCTTATCCTTGGATTCTTTCCTTAGATTCTGTTCTTCTCTGTCGGCACAAGCAACAGATATCTTCTTCTTGAACCCCTGTAGACCCTCCGTTTCCAGCGTTTCATCTTCGTCGATGTCCAATCCCTTCCATACGTTCTCTACAACCTTGACCCATTCCGTGGGTTGTCTACCCCTCTTTTTGTTTGCCCACTTCGCCTCCCATACTATTCTCGGCAACCTCTCCTCTCCCATCCCGCACATGCGGTACTGCCATGTCAGCTTCCTTACGTCTCTTCCCGACCGTAGGGATTGGATCCCCAATTCTGCCCTGACTGCTGCATTACTTGTGCGCTTGGAGCATCCTAGGATGATTTTCGCTGCTTTCATCTGCACCGCCTCGAGTTCTTTCACTACCTTCTTATTTCCTTCCCATACTTCTCCGGCGTACTCTAGCGGCGGTACGATTACGCTCTTCAGAACCGTCAATTTGATGCGTGTATCAAGGTGCCGGTTTGCGAGTATTGGGTGCAGCTTCCCTGCTCGTGCTTTGCCCTTTTCCGCTACCTTGGACATGTGTGCATTCCACGAGCAATCTTTTGCGATCTCTACTCCGAGGTATGTGTACTGGTCCACTACTGCAATCTCCTCGATCCCCCACTTCCATCTATGTTCTACTGGTTCCTCCCTGCCCTCGTTGCATACCATGACGGCACTCTTCGTAACTTTGGCAGACAATCTCCACTTATCAGTAAACTTCTTCGCCGCGTCAATTTGCAGTTGCAGTCCCTCAGGGGTGTCCGACATACCAACAAAGTCATCCGCAAACAGCATTCCTGACACCGAAGTTTCCGTGTCCCCTACTTTTACTCCCTTCCGGACTGCCTCTACGACTTCCAACAGATCGTTGATGAACACCTGGAACAATGTTGGGGACAGCGTGCAACCTTGTGGGACCCCCTGCTCGATGTCGAAGAATTTAGACAGTTCTCCGTCTAGCATGACCGCGCTTTTCGTACACTCTGTCATCTTCTTCAGCACCCTCCACATTTTCCCCTTGATCCCGTACTTGGACAATTGTTTCCACAGCCCATTTCTCCATACGGTATCGTATGCCTTTTTCACGTCCAGGAAGAAGCAGTACGTCCGCTTGCCCGCCCTCTTTCTACCTTGGATGATTCTCCCTACCGTGAATGCGTGGTCTACGCACCCCCTCTTCTGTCGGAAACCTGCCTGGCCCTCACTAATGCTACGTTTCTTCTCCAATACTCCCACTATCCTATCGTTCAGCAGCTTACAAAACACTTTTCCTACTGTGTTCAACAGTGTGATACCCCTGTAGTTTCCTGGGTCAGTCTTGTCTCCTTTCTTAAACAAGTTCACAACCACTCCTTCCCTCCATCTACTTGGCGCATACTCGTTTTTCCACACCCAGTTGTACAGCAGTACCATCAGCTGGATCATCCCCTTCCCCCCAAACTTCATGAAGTAACAAAAGGGGGGGGGGTTGTTCGGCGAATCAATCGAACGGGATAGATCTACGAACATGACAACAACAACGGACGCGTTCTCAAAAACAGAGACGAGCTGTTGCACAAAACTTGCAGGAGGGGCGGACGGGGCCAGGAGGGACACCTTTCTCTTCCAACCCACACGAAAATCTGTCAATGGGATCTCGAGATACATCGCCCGAAGAAAAACAACTTGCATTTAGAGAAGAAACCGGAGTTCGCCTACTCTAAAACCAAGTGAAAGAAAGGGGGTGGGGTCGCTTTTGGTGGGGTCACTTTTGGTGGGGTCACGTTTGGTGGGGTCAAAATCGAATATAGGTTTGAGAATTTCCGCAACAGAAAACTGAAGCAAATAGGCTTCAGAATATTTTTTTGTTTGGATGTAAAAAGGCACAATTATACAAGTCATGAACCATCAACATACAAAGTCTTTGATGAATGCTTCAAGAGGAGGAGCGATAAAATACGCGTGTGTGTTTGTGTGTGTCTTTGTGTCTTTGTGTCTTTGTCTTCTCCATGTCGCCGCCGCGTGAGCAGCACCGAGTTCTTCCAAAGAAAGCCAACGGAGGGGGGGGACAAAAAACAACTACATACATACATACAGAAGAAATACATACATACGTCGTACGAGGGACTACTATACAGTAAGTCGCCCGTGCCTAAGAGAAAAAACAAGCAACTACAAGGAAAATCAGGGCATGCCATATTCTATTTCAAACCGATTCCCGCATGCAATGTGCATGCATGCGTGCGTCCGTCCATCATGCACGGTGGTTTCCTTCTTAAGCAAAAAAGCCGACGACAATAAATACATGCAAAATATACACTGAAAATTGTACTCTACATATCCTGAAAAGTGTATTACACGTCTCACCACGAAAATGGGGGGACTGTCGCCATACTAAATAGGACGCGTAAACACGAACACACGTATGCGTAGATCGTACTCTAGTCTGTAGTCTATCCAGTACCTGATGATGGCCAAAAAAAATGTCGTCATCGGAAAAAAAAAATGCTCCTGAGATGCTCCTGGCGGGACTTGAACCCGCAACTTTCGGCTCATAAGACCGACACTCTAACCAATTGAGTTACAGGGGCGACGCCGGATCGAAAAAATTTGAGTTCTTGAACATGACTTCACGTCAAAGTTGGCACAGCCGTATCCCGCAGTGCTCTCATGTGGGCAACTGATGCTGGTGGCTTCGGAAGCACCGACGGATTAGTTGAAGTATCCTCTGCTGTTTATGGGGTCAGCTGCATATGCCGGGCCCTTACTGGCACGCGCAGCTACACAGGCCGCGATGTACACATCGACCTACTACTCTGTGTCCGTGTATTTTTTAGTCTGCGGCTGTAGCCAGGAACTGAAGGTACGTGTATGCATGCATACATAAGCTACAAGATGCTGCTACCCAGACAGCTGCAGTGCTGCTGTAGCCACAGCCCGTACCAATCCGAAGTAAAGCAGTATCTAGCGGGCACATGTTCAACCGAGGGGGCGCTTGGCACATGATAACCCTCGTTGTTGTTGCAACTGCTGCCGCGCGACAACGAAACACGTAAACTGCAGCAAGCAGCAGTTTCACACCAGCAGCACTAAGATACGTAGACTACATGCACAGCACGCAGCGGCGACCAGCCGATCTGTGTAGAAGGAGCACATATAGGCTGCTACGCATTCCCCATAGTCTCGTACGATCGAAAGCCAACACTCTCACAGGGGGCATGCAGCAGGCGCCGTTCCTGATGCCGCTGGTGCTGCTGTGCCTGTACACGTAGTGTGCTCTGCTTTGATTTGGCGCGAAAATGGTTGGTAACGGGTGATGGGTTCGTCGGAAGTTTCGAAACTGCTGGGAAAGAAGTTCGGTGCGGGGAAAACGCCTACTGCAACTGTCGTCTAGATATGTACTGTTGTCAGTCTTCTCTTGCTTGTCCCCACCGCATATTTTTAGGTTGAGGGAAGATACGTGGCGCACCCTCCTCGCCGTGCAGCTTTTTTTTGCTGCTCCTGATGCTGCTGTGTGGGGCGAAATTTTTTTTTCTGGGGGGGGGGGGGGGGGGGGCGAGGAAAACTCTACACGCGTACACCACCGAGTAACAATCAATCTTCATTGCGGATGGCCCCGAGGCAAAACACAGCAGCAACAGCAGCAGCCACGTGACGTTTACCTGTCGAAAAAATATTGGGGAAAAGCTTGAAGAGACAAAGCAAGAATCACAATGAGATTTCGTTTGACCTCGAACCTTCCTTACTGCTTGTTTTGTTTACGTATTTACTGCTGTGCATGTACAGTAAGTAGACTAGTAGTGCCGTGTAGCCTAAGAAGTCTTTATGTAGTTGCCATACCCTCGATGATTACAGTCTTGAGAGGATTAGTGTAGAAATACAGAGTGTTGCGAGCATGATAGTTCAGTAGGATGTTAAAATGGGAAGACTTGCAATAAATGGCCGGGAGAGAATACCTCTACCGGCCTTTTCCCCGGTGGATTCAGGATATATATCGTGAACGTACCGCGTGGGATGTGAGGTGTTGCTCCCACACGGCGCAAACCTTCACCTTTCGCATCCGGAAAAGACAACAGCATCCCTTTTCTACACGATCGATCGTGGATCACGAGCGTATCCTAAGCGACCGGCACCTGCATCTTTCAAGGAATAAAGTGATCCTCCTTTTGACACACAGTATGTCGGATGCGGTGAGTGAGGGTTGGACGCCATCACCAACCCTTGCACGCCACTTATTGTCGTCTTCGAGATTGTTCTTCACGTTCTTCTGTTGCATTCTGCGTATATTTTGGTCTCATTCCACGAGAACTCGAGGTTTTCTTCGCCCTCTTCCCTTCTTTTCAAGATGACATTAGCAACATGCCTTTGCTCTCCGCACAAGAGAACAACTGGGACCTCGCCTTTGGTCCTCGGCCACAATATTAGTCTGGGGGACATTGTGGCGTTTTCTCGTATTTACGACAATCTGAGTGTGGGCGTTCTTCGTTCTGTCTCCTCTGTGCAAGATGTGGTTGCTGCTGCCTCTAGTCAGTCGTGAGGATAGTATTCTTTCCGTCTGTTTGGCTGGGCTCAGGGGCCTTCACGCCCACAAGCTGGCCTCTTGTTGTGGGTTACCCGGTGGTTCTATGTGATTTGACTGCGCTCACAGAAAACTGGCGATCCCTGTGTATGTACATTTGTCGGCAAGCTGGATGTGTTTCGCTCCTTCCGTTGGTCTCAAGTGTTTCGGGTAAACATGGAGAAGATTATTCTCCGGACTGCTTTCTCCGAGGAATGTGTTGAATTTCTTCCTGCCTCTTCTTCCCCGACAAACTAGTTGGTATACCAACGGTAACGCGGTCACGTACCTTGGCCCGCACAACGTACTGCGAATCAAGCCTTTCGATATGAATGCTTGGTTTCGTCATACAACACGGGCCATTTTTATTCTGGCCGCCACTTCCATTGGCCGTGCGTGGGCACCCTTTCTTTGCTGCCATTCTCTGAATGCCTTGCTCCAATCGATCATAGCCACCCAGCATGCTGCGATCACCGGGACAATACTACGATGTGGGTGTTTTATGCATCATCAGCCTTTTGCCGCATACCCGCCCTTCCCTTCCTGCCATTACCGATACGGCCGTGCTCTCCACCACGGCTTTGGCGCTCAACTCTGCGGGCTTACATCAGACGATGATGGACGCCGGAGTGGAGGAGCTTGACCTTCAAGGAGACGAGGAGACGAAGAAGCTAAGCACGGTGAAGATGATTCGGCCTCTTGAGCCCCTGTTGCACAACAGTTTGGCGGTGCTCATGGTACTACCCCCCAAGAATCTGTGGACTTTGGGGTCCCGTTGCCGTCTGTCGCTCCTTTCGGCAACCGTTTCGGCTCCTGTGTGAGCATACCCCTACCCCCGTGCCGCTGTGAACGCCCCCATTTCAGGTTCCATGCGCGCGGCTACTGCAATGGCGTCCACCTTGCTCCAAAGCGGAGCCCCTCCTCTAGCCAGACAACGCATCAACACGGAATTCGACTTGCTACTTGATTTCGTGCTCGCGCACCAGCAGCAACGCTGCACGATATCTGGAGGACCTTCCTACCAAGGTCGACGAAGAGCGGCTGCAGAATCAATCGTAGTCGTCTTCTTTGGCAAAACAGCCCCTCTGGCGACGACCGGGCCGCGCTGGACGCCGCTACTGCAGCTCCGGCATCTTCGGACTCCTCGTAGATTCTGGAGCCGCCTCCCGCTTCGGGGACCTCCCCGCACACTGCAGCGGCCCGTGTCATTACACCTACGGCCCCTCCTACGAGCCGCCCTCCCAGCGAGCTTGCCACGCCGGAGCCATTTCCTGTTGGTTCAAGGAACCCCGTGGACCTGATGAACCTTCGGCATCCTTCGCCGTGAGTACGGACACCCAGCGCCTCGCGAGGTGGACAACGCTCCTGACGAACCTCCTCGCTGCAATCGGAGTAAATGTGTGTTCCACCCAGGTGACAGTATGTTCCTTCTGCGGCATACCTTTTGGCACAGTATTTTCAGTAGTGCCATCGAGTTCAACGCTGCCAATTCCTCTGTGGCTCGCACGGCTTGGCCTGCCGCCAGTTCGGTATGAAATCTATCGACAAACAGGCCAAGCTACTCTCCTTGGAGATATCATGGATCGATCGGCGCTTCACCTCGACAGTGCAGCAATTCCACACCAAGCTTGCGTCGCTTGGCTGACCTTCTGCACACGGCGAGTCACATCCCCCGCCTCGGAGCAGCACACGCTCCCATCTACCCCTTTTCCCTCCTCGTCTCGCTCTCTTCGCCCCGTTCGGACTCCAGTTCTTGTTCTGGGTAAAATTAGAACTATGCGTAGCAAGGACAAGGTCGCCCGTGATGAGGAGACCGGGTGTCAGCCGGGCAGCCGCCCCGGCCGCCATGCTGGGCCGACGACTACACTACCCATGCCAATCGTCAACGGCTGTTCTGAATATGACCTATCTATGTAGTGGGAACATGCCGAACAGATTCGCCCTTGGTTCCGTTGTTGAACCAGGGTGGTGATACACCGACGACCTCTATCTCCGCGTGGGTGCACGTTTCCCCCTCGAAAACCGTGAAGCAGGCAGGCCCTTCTGTATGGGGGGCCAAATGATACTGGTATTCCTTTCTGCGCTCGTGCTTTGGGGGGGTAGTTTCCGCGCCAAAACTGGACCATCCAGTCCTCTCCGTGAACTTGCGCTCTTCCTTCAACGAACGAAAGGCAATTGCGTACACCCACGAAACGGTAGCAAACGAATATTGTACCTCCAACCCGTTGCCCGTTGGTAATACAGGAATATAAAGTTACTCTCTGCCGAGTATCGTATTGTTGACAAGTTTTTTCTTCCGTTGCAATGATTCGCCTTTCTTGTTTTCTCGGAATACCACTGTCATGCAAAGTAAACTACTTTGCAAGGAAATCGACAGCGGGACGTAACATTTTTCTAAAGATGTCACCATTTTCGGCCCACCGCCGGCGATGCAGAAGTCGAACCACACGATGTGCTTGGTACCACGTCTACGACCCCGTTCAATCATACTTCGGTGAACACGCTATAGCTATCCCATCCAGGTTTCGCGGCGAACTCAGCTACGTATCCCACGCCCTACTCTTGTAGCTAACAATCCAATGCGGGTAGCACCGTCTAGACCCACACGTGACATCATGCGAAAACCGTTCCAGGATGTCAACGGTGGAGAGGTCCTCGGAGCAAGGACATCAACATCCATCCCCGGAGGAACACCTTACACATCGGCAAGCTTTCCGCCCCTTCTTGCCGGAGTGGTGCTTCCGTATGGAGGAGCACATAGTGTAGTCCGAGTTTTTATGTTTTGTAGCAGAACCGATTGCCGCATCTTTGGCACGCCACAAATAGCTGTTGATCTGTAGGCTCAGGCTGACCGCCTGCAGTAGTTGGAGCTTGGGTTGGTCCTGTAGGTCCGTTTGTTACGAGTATCGCCTCCACAAAGTGCTTGACCAATTGTCGTGCTTCCGGATATGGTACAAGGGAAGCATGGAGGGGCGGTGGCGGTCTGTGCCACACGCCTTTGGTTGATTTTGAGGTAAAATACATTGGCGTCTACATTGTATTTAACATGGACTACAATCAATCAGCAACACGCTTCAAATTTGGGGGGGCGAGGGGGTCACTCATGGTCGTGGCCGCGGTGTATGATCATACCAGTGTGTCCTCGGACGCCATCTTGTCTACACGTGATGCAACTAGAGTATGTACAGCGATTTAGGAGGATTCGAAACCGGCACTACATACGTTATTCACCCGTAGTGGTTCAGGACGGGAGAATCCGACCTACTCGAAGGACCGCCCTGTTGGGGGAGGGTGGTGGAATGTGCAACGGAGGCAAGCGCCGTACAGCAGTGCCAGCCCGCTAGCAAGTGAGGCCAGCGTTGGGTCGAATAAGTTTATTTTTTCGTCGCCACCGTCGAGCCTAGACTCTGTACCATAGGTAGGTCTATATTGGATGGATGTGTTACAGTAGTAGTAGGATCCGCTGCAATGTCTTACTTGCGGGAAATTTTGAACATAAATTTCTTGCAACTGATTTTTCTCACTCACGAGTCGGTACTGCTGCGGTGTAGACACACGCGAAAGAACAAGGCCCACATCATTGACAAATTCACTTCAGCTACATGTACGTCTTGTCTCTCAGAACGCACATGCCAAAGAAATAGCTGTTGAGAATCACGATGATTTAAAGGAGGTGAAGCCGTGGGCGTTAGCTTGCTCCTAGAGATAGATGAAGGTAGGTTCTGTCGTTGACACGCTTGTCCACGACCACGTTGAGATGGGAAAGAAAGTTGCTTGTTATTGCTGAGAGACGATCAGCAAGGGTCTGAGGTGAAGTGGGGATCCAACTTCACCTCAGGGGGTACACAGACTAGACAAATTCTAAGAGAATAGGGGTCTGAAGGGAATACCTCCTGGGACCGACCCACATCCTATCAACAATAAGATGTACCCTATTTATTCAAGCTAGCAGCCACACTCCTTAACAATGACCATATAGTCATCATCGTGATTCTTGACAATAACCTCTCGGTTGACCTTTCAGAATAAATATATCATGTGCAATAACGAAACGATTGCATTCGCACATTCGCACGCCATCACCCGCTGTGACCACCAAGGATACGACAAATCTACTGCTGTACGAGTCGAGTAACTGATTGCATGCTCCCTATATATTTAAATCTACGGTTGGTTGTAGCACGTCATCATCCCTGAGGAGACATTTACCTCCGGCACGTGGAAAACAAACGAGATTTAGGGTGTGCATTGCAGAAAGTTCAGTGCAAAGACTTCCTACACATGCATTCCTTTTTTGAGTCCACTCGATGTGCTGGTGATACGCACTCGTGACTTCAGGTCCACCACTCCAGCGGCAGCAAGCGTAT